GGCTCCGTAAGGTTAGTCTCTCTGGGTGGGTAAAATGTCTCAAATGGTTGCGCAATCGAGTTTTGGCATCGAGATCGGCACATTCAAAGAGCTTCTGGTATTCCGATAATTCTTCGTCGATGGTTGGTAGGATGACTTGGCCTGTGGTCGCGGCGGGCTCCATACTCATGTGTTTCCAATACGAGCCTATTAACTCAAGTGGGATAGGACATTTGTTCACAACAACATACTCATGAAGTTCATGGCGACATGGTAGACTGTGGGTTGTTCGGATGGCGCAACTACAACCCATATCGCTCGGTTGCAATAGTTTCGCATTGTCCACCTCAACTTTGAGTAGTTGTAGAGCGTATTTTGAGATACTTCCACGAAGCTCATTGTATATCAACGTTTTGAAAGTGTGCTCGTAAGTATTTTTACTTACTTCAAAGGAAGCCTTGATGTCATTGTGTTGTTCGACAATTTGATTGTGGACTTTCGTATACAAATCCACAAATGTGCCAGTTGAATTACGCACATCCCTTTTCATTCGTCCGTGTGCCCCCTCCACCCTATTAGAAGTGTACGTTCCAAAATGAGTATACTTATTTGTCCACACCGATACAAGTCTCTCCTTGTACGGATCCAACCATGAATTAGCTACATACTCTATAGCCGGGAGATAACCAATAAATGTTCTTTTCAAATCCTCCCAATCCTCATTGAACTCCTCTATGGTATTTCTTTCAATAAGAGCCGAAAAACTCGACTGAAATTGCTTCCATTTGGTGATGTCCTTTGGGAACAATTTCTTACAATTGGCCACTATATTCTTGTTCACATGCCACCGACACAGCAAGTGATGACTCGATGGATACACATTGGCCACTGCTTTCATTAAACCCAAATCTCGATCTGTTACAATGCAATTAGGCCGAGGACAACTGGTCATGGCCTCCTTCAAACAACGCAACGCCCATTCAAAATTTTCCGTCTTTTCGTGGTCCAAGTAAGCAAAGGCAATTGAGAACGTCTTGTTGGTACAAGTAAAACCCACAATCTCAAGAAATGGGAGTCCGTAACGATTGGTCTTGTACGTGCAATCGATGACGAATACGTACGGATACGACTGTGCCAACTTAATGCATTTCGGGTGGATCCAAAACAAGTCGGTAATCGCATTCAACTCGTTCGATCTATGGTACGAGAGGTATTCATCTTCTTTCAACTTGACAAACAATGATTGCAATTGAGATCTCCCATCCAATTCACTGAAATTTAACTTAGAGATAGTATTGTAAACTGTCTTCATACCAGTTACATTAGACGGGTCCTTTTGCTTCAATGCTCTTAGAATTTCCCTTGGTTTCACCATTGCTTTCTTCATAGTGTGAACAAAGGAAACATCCTCCTTTGATAATCTTCCGGCATAAGAGTGTCCGTGCAAGTTTTCGAATAAGTTGTGGTTGTGAATACCACAACTAACATCCAATTTCCACTCAGCCTTTTCATCATCCTTGTGTTCCCTTGTCCCCTTCAATTTAAACGGACAATTGCATTTCTTTGAACCGGTGCTCCTTTTTCCCGGTCTTTGATCATCTTCACCTGGTACCTTCTTGCCAACATAATGGCCCCCACGCTCACAACGAACAATCACATACGGTGTCCTACGTCCTCTATCCCCGTCACTCGAACCCCCAATCATTAACACCATTCCAATTCTTTTACATACTTCACGAACCCATGCCATTAAAGCTTCTTTTGTTGGGAATTTTTCGGACGTGGTAAATGAATGGGTGCAATCGATCTACACAAAAGAGTCGAAAATATAAGACAAGTAAATTTGCAACAGGAACAAATTCGACACTTAAGTTGTCGAATTATGATGCAATTTTCGACACTTAAGTGTCGAAAATTACCCTAGATTTCGACACTTAAGTGTCGAAATCTAAGGGTATTTTCGAAAAAAAAAAAATTTCAAAATCGATGTTTTAGCTCAAAAAATACATGAATACATACCTGAATGGGTTCTCCTTGCTCGTAAACTACCATTCTATTGTCATTTGAGGCCATTTTGCAAGTTGTGTAAGGTTTTGATTTCTTTTGTTTTGGGGTTTTTTAGGAGGGTTTTTGGGGAGGGAGAAGAAGGAGGTGGAGGAGGTGAGGGGTTTGGGAGTGAGGAGGGAAATGTTTTTTTAGGTTTTTGATTATTTGGTTTTTAAGAAAGAAAAATAGTATTTGTAATATTATTTGGTTTTAATTTTCATTAAGGGTATTAAAGTAATTTCCAATTAATTATTTAATTTCTATTTTTTTGGTATTCAACTAAGCAAAAGTTAGTATTCAAAATAGTTGCCCCCTAGTATATTAGTATATACTTTAGTTTTTCAAAGTTTCTACAGTCTCTTTCATTCCTTAAGTAAATTTATACATAAATTTATGTTTAGTTAACCATCATTATTACTTTTATTCACATACATTTATAATTATTCCAAATCTAAGTATAATTCATCAACAACATTAAAAAAATCCTTGTACTGATATTCATCATGTTAGTAGAATGACCAGTCCACCACCACCGCCGTTACTCATTACCAATTTACCATTAGACCCAAAAGGATAAGAAAGTAAAATACTACTACCATCATATAAAGCACACACGTTACTTAAACCTCTTCCCCTCCCCATTTGTTTTTTCATTTTTCATTTTCATATAAAACTAGTTGATATTCTAGAATTCCTAATTACATACATTTTGCTTTTTCAACTGATGAATGGTTGTTTGATTTTTTTGGATAAACGACGATCAGAAGCATTGATCGGTGACGGAATTTATCTATTCCGGTGCGTTCCCATCCTCTTCTAATTTAACTCCTTCTACCGTCGATACATATCTCTTATTTAGCTTTTTTTTTTTTTTTACCCTTTTCAATGTTTTAGGTGAATTTGTGGCGTACAAGTAAACTGTTCTGTTGTTCGGTGAGTTATCTTCCTTAATTGTTGATAAATGAAATGGTCATTCAATCAATGAAATGCGGATTCCGGAGAGATCATTGACATTAATATGATTAATCTTTATTTTTTCTGAACCTTTTCCGCCTTTTAAAGTGAAGGTGGAGAAAGAAGTGAAGCAATTATTTTCACCGAGCACTTTTTTTTTTTTTTTTTTAAATTGTTTCATTTGTCTTTTTATCTCTTCGAGCTGATCGCCAGAAACTATTTATTTAGATTTTTTTTTTTAACATTTGTCTCCGCACCAATTTTAGTCTAAAAATATGTAAATGTAATGATCTCGTAGAATGAGTAGTGAAAAGCGTCTCACCTGCTGAAATTTTGGCAAATATTTCATCCTTTTATTGGTTGGATTTACCGAAAATTTAGTCAGTCATGATGACAATTTCTCTGATCTTCATCATTATTTTCTTATTTCAGGCACTGGCTGGATGCCTTTGTTGGAAGCAACGAATTGTTTCTGAACCACTCCATTTTATTTCTCAGTATTGTTACATTCAGGTTGGGCTCAGTTGAAGTACCTCTTGCCAATTGAGATTAGGATGTGTCTAGACTGGAAGTTTGATGCATCCTGCTTGAATTTTCATTATTCTTTGTGATAAAATACTGAAAGTTCTTTTTCATTATTGGATTTATCATATTGATAATTAAAGTAGGCTGAGTTTTTGGGATAAGCAATTTGAAGTTGCCAATTTTACTAAAATATATTTTGCCTTGTTCGACAGTGATGGGATTACCTCAGGTTTCATCTAGTGAAACGTCTGAGGTGGGACCTGCACCTCTAAGGACACATGTTTACAGTGTGCCACAGTTTGTTGATGTTAGCACATATAATTTAGACGGGATATGTGCGGAAGATGTGAGCCGAAATTGTGGGGATTCAATTTGTTATTCCTTGGGAGATTTTCAGTGGCAAACCTCCACGGGGATCTCGAAATCTCCTGATGGATTTGAGAAAAGTTTATTGGATGCCACACCTAACATTTTGGTGGCAAACGTGCATTGTGGGGAAAGTGTTGACTCGTCTACTTCAGAAACCAGGAGATATATTCAGCCTCCCGTATCTAGGATTATTGGTTTTAACTATGATAAGGGCGATATGGTATCTGATGGATTAAACGGTGAACCAAGTCATTATCACTCTTCTTCTGCCAGTATCACTCTCAAAGAAGCTGAACCCAGTGGATTACATGTCAGGAAGCGTTTGCTGTCTCCACTAAATAAATTGCTCTTGCCCGAGCAATTCAATGGCGATCCTTTAGATATTGACAGCCATAACTTTCTGAATGGTTGTCCTTCTAGTAAACAAGCATGTGGTATTTCTTCGATACAAGAAACTAAAAGAGCAAATCTCAGCTGTAAAAGTCACTCAACTATGCCAATATGGTCAGTGAGTAATTGTTCAGAACTAAATGAGAAGTTGCATAAATACAGTAAAAGAACCTCAATATTTTTTACGGATGGCCCTGTATTAGAGGATAAGGGACTGGTCCAATTTTCACATCAACCATCACCTGGAGCTGGAAGTGATCCATTTTTTGCACCAAGTGAGGTAAGCTGCCACTCAGGGGCCAAATCAGTACCCTCGAAAAAAACTGTATCATCCCCACTCTCCTTGTCTCCTCTTGGGCCAAAATTTTATGAGCGAGTAGAACCTTCAGTAAGGAGGAGTAGCAAGGAAGAGGAGCTATGGAAAAAGGCTGCACATTCTCTTGATGAGAGATTTTCAGGTGTGATCTTTCCCTCTGAAGATGAGGAATTCAGGATAACTAGAATATCATGTGAAGAGACTAACATTCTTCAAGCAGAAGTCCAATCATCATCCTCATTAACTAAATTTGGAACAAAATGGCCTTTCTCTCAGAACCCCAGAACTGCGATCAATTCTAAAAAAAATGCCAATTTGAGGGGCTTTTGTACTCGGAGGTCATTGGTTGGGTCATTTGAGGAATCTCTGCTGTCTGGTCGGCTTTCATCTGGAAAATTTAATCAGGTTATTTATTTTGTTTGTTACTTTCCTTGTTTGGTGTCCCATGTAGTTGTTTGATTACTCGATGTTAGTACTCCCCATGGACAGGCTTGACAACATTTTTTAATAATATTAGTTCCTCGCTATGAATTGACAGAAAATAGATGGTTTTCTTGCTGTACTGAGCATAACTGGAGGAAATTTCTCTCCGAAATCACAGAAACTTCCATTTGCAGTTACGAGCATCGACGGCGACAGCTATTTATTATACTATGCATCGATAGATCTTGCTGGTAATTCACGTTCAAACAAGTACAGGACTGAAAATGTGAAAAAGAATGTCGATAGCAATGATTCCAAAAGTGGAAAAAACCGTCTGCGTATTCCTATGAAAGGGCGCATCCAATTGGTACATATTTCTTCTAGTCAGATTTTATTTAGGACTGTTTGATCCTGCTGATATTTGGCCAAGGCTTCGTACAGTTATGTTCTTGGATCTGCTTGTTGCTGTTCTTTTGTAAGTAATAGCAGTTTGTTTATGTATTTTCTACTTATGCTTTTTATAATTCAGCTGGTTAATTACAACATGATTATAACTACTTCTCCTGTTAATATGACGGGCTTGCTGAACCTTGGTCACCATTTCTCTCGTAGGAACAACTCATTCTCTTAGAGCTCCGTTTCGGAATGCCTTTTCGAGTTTCAGTGCTCACTTTACATTTTTCTTATTATTAAATATGTGCAAGTGTTCTATTAGATGGATTATCTGCAAAAATTTACTAGATTATGTCATGTTCATATTTTGTTGCTACTTACAAGTTACAATACTCATTTATGATTTGAATTTGTGAAGAGTGTTCTTTTCTGCTGTACTTCAATGCATGTGTCTGGTGAATGCATTTGTCTATTTTTTTCCTGCATCCTCTTATGATGTTATTACAATTTATGCTTCAGTTAGAAAAGTTCAACTATTTTTCCTCAAACTTAGGAATCATTTCATGTCACACATACTTACCCTCGAGTGGGATTGTGGTTTTCTTTTTTTTTCCCTCTGTGACAGAAATGATAGCATATTTTATTATGGTTTAAAGAAATTTCACTATCCACTGAAAAGAATGATCGGCAGGTCCTGAGCAACCCTGAGAAGACACCTATGCACACCTACTTCTGTAACTATGATTTAAGTGACATGCCAGCTGGCACCAAGGCAAGTTCTACTAAATCAACTTCTTTTTAAGCTGCATAGACAATATATCTGTATTAATTATCCTATTTCCTGTTCAAAATTTGACCCTTTCTTGGTTTCTATAATCTGATCTAAATGAGATGCTATGTTGTGCCTATCTGCGAGACAGAAAGAAACGTGCATTTTTTTATGGAGATTGACAGGTTTATGCTATATATGGTCTGTCCTACATTATTGCGCGCGAGTGCTAACATTCAAACTCATCTCAATTCTCTTATCGGAGTCTCATATTTTCTTCTTGGGCTAGTAAATTTAATTTTTTTAAGACATGCACTTGAGCACATTGAAACAAATGATGTTCCACGCAGCACACAACACAGAAGGCCATATGCCTCCGGCCAGCTAGTGGGTTTGTTGAGTAACAGAAATAACTTCAGCTTTTTAGTGGGTTTGTTGAGTAACAGAAATTTAACTTAGGGGGATCAATGAAAGATAAATTTGTTGAAAATGGTAGGTAATTTAAGAGTTGACCAGCATGATTAACTTGAGTCTGAAATCCGCTGCTTGAGGCATCGTTATAGTTAACCAGATGTGATAATAAGATAAAGAGAAGGATTTCAGTTCAAGAATTGTCTTCCTATTTGGGGTTATGCATATGATTCAATCAGTGAAATCTTTGTTGTTATTCCACACAGACATTCTTGCGTCAGACGGTCTTTCTTGCTTCCTCAGCTTCGGATTCCTTTCGTGGAAGGGAAGATTCGAAAAGTTTCAATGAAAAAGATGAGGGCAAGGCTCCTTTGGTCCCAGATGAAATACACGACGAACGAGTATGCAATGCTGAGAAACTTTTAGAGTGTCATTCATGCCAGAGTGATGAGATGGATGCTTTCCATAGAACTGAGAGGAAGTCTTTGCATTCTTGTTTAAAGGCCAATGGGAATGCCACCACTTCTGGTGCTCTTCGTTATGCTCTTCACCTACGATTTAGTTGTCCTTTCTCCAAGGAAAGCTCGGTTTCAGTTAGCAGATCAAATGCTTCTTTGGCTACAGAAAGAAGTAGATTCAACATTGAAGGACATAGAAGATTTTATTTGTACGATGATTTGAAGGTCGTTTTCCCTCAACGTCATTCAGATGCTGATGAGGGCAAGGTAATGTGTTTTATATTCCGTATGCTTAAAATCAATACCTCCAACATCTCCCGATACAATTAAATCTTGGGGCTGGTTTATTGAAGAAATTATAGTGTTATTACATCTCATATAATTGAAATGGTGTACAGGATGAAAACGTATGCTGAGTTTTGAATGTGTTCATTACATTACCATCTGTGATCTGCTGGTTTTTGACATAGGTTTTTGTTATTGCAGTTGAAGGTTGAATACCACTTTCCCGAAGATCCCAAGTACTTTGATATTAATTAGCAGCTGAAGCATCCAACTACTCTTACGAAGAACATGCTGTTCCGAGTGTAGTTATCTGTAACGTATATATAAGTCAGTTGCTATCTGTAAAAATGCGAAACAAGAAAAGGAATAAATTAAAAAAAGGCGTGCAGTTTTTAAAATTATGAAGTTACAACTAATTTTCAAAATATGAAGATACGACTAACTTGAGGTTTCATTATAAAATCAACTGAGTGGGATCATAATACCCCATATAATATGGATGATGGTCCAGTGAAGCATATTGGTTAACCCCAGAAAATGGGTATGATGAAGAATTGTCTTGGTGCAGGTTCAAGTGTAGGCATATATATAGATAGGCAAGTCACAAGTTTTGTCTTGGTGTCTTTTTATACATTAGTTGCTATTTTAGTGATACGGTTACTGCCTTTCTATCTTCGACATATATTACAAAATACAGCAATTTACGTCATTTCGTCATTGGTTCGTGCATATAATTAATACACTAGTACCTACTATTATATTCCCCACTCTTCTATCTTTCTTTATAAGCCTCTCTCTCTCTCTCTCTAGACCTGACATAACAACCACTGCAGCGAAACAAGGAGCAGAAGTTGCCATTTGTTGTCACATATGAGCATATATACCCGTCGATGGCATGCAAAACCAAAACCTGCAAATGCAACTTTATTTACTATTATAACCCCGGCCCCCTTGTAACTCTGATCTAATTAATTAATATTCTCACGTTCACATTGTCACTTGCACGTCCACGTCACTACTTTGCAGACATTTTTATTTTATTTTAATTTTGTTGAAATTATATATAGGGGTTCATATTGTATAATGTATGTGGTCATGTCGTCCATTATTAAGTTAATAGGGGTTTACCTTTTTAGCATAAAATTACAAAACCAGTACTATATATGTCACCTTACCTCGAACGAATATAATGTGTAGTACTCCACGAATCACTATGCTTAGTATTATTATTATTTATGATCCAAGTGATTGGACAAGGAGGCCTTTCCTTTGTGTATCAAAATTCTCATGGTACACGTCTACTCCCATCATCATTCAAAATATATTCTTTTTTTAATGTTTAGATGTGAGACCCATACTCTCAATGTCTTATCAATTTCATCAAAATAGTGTTATGTATAGGCCCCCTTCTGTTCAATACAAACTTGCCATAAAATGTACATCCCTGTACGAATTCAATATGTTTATGAAATAAAATATTCTTGCATTTGTTCCTTTCTACCTTTCCTAAATTAATTAACATCAATAATATCAATTTCGGCACGTACTAGGAATTAATTTACAATTTCTTCTAGCTAGTTCAAATTGAACCCACTCGGAAATTAAGTACAATAATTTCTAAGTTTGGAGAACCAACAATTAGCCAGGCATGCACCTAAACTTATATTCACGACAATGTATTTGTTTTTAACTTTTTGCGTAAGTTTATAGCCACGACAAAATGTATTTGCTGTCGATAAGATGACAAATTTCAGGAATGCTTTTGTTTCTACTTTCTACCTTCCATTTTCTTATATCAATAATGAAAAATGGAATGTAATTACTAATAATATACTTAATTACACTAATTAGCTTCGCATTTTAATTTCTTTCAACGTGTACATATTTGTAACGTGACCCCAATAATTAGTACTAATTTTGTTCCATCACATGAAACATCGATCTCCGTGGGTTTAATTTGATCTGCAGTCAGGTCGCTCTCTCATTTTGAGCGTTTGCCCATTTTCGCATTTTGTTCCATGTAATTATTGTACTGTATATCAACCCTCAATGTAATTTCTTTCCCTTTAATTGTTTGTGAGAAATAATTATTTGAGAATAATGAGGACAAAGTTGAAAAAAAGTGAGTAATTGAGATGTATAAGATAATAGAAATTTTAGAGTAACATATATACAAAATGGAACAAAAAAGTTTTCCAAAATAACAGTTAATTTGAAACAAATGTGAAGTGAGTATATATGTATTTAATTGGTAATTTTTACAAATATAATTAACTTGTAATTGTTGAAATTGAAATACATAATTATTAAGTAGATAGAAATTAAAGAAGAGAAAATACAGATACCAGTCACCAGTGGTAGAAAGAGACAAAACAAAGTAACAAACTAATCTCCCTCTCTCTCTCTCTCTCTCTCTCTCTCTCTCTCTCTCTCTCTCTCTCTCTCTCTCTCTCTCTCTGTGCAGCTGCAGTTTTACACTGCATTTGTGTACTCGCAATTCGCAATATATATACATACACACAGTCACTATATATCTATATATGTACTCCTACCCACTGCAACCAACCAACACTATATAACTCCATACTTCGGAACCCACCCCCACCCCCCTTCTATATCTCTCTCTCTCTCTATAAATATAACTCGGTCTCTCTCTCTCACTCATCTCCCACAAGCAAAAATGGCAGACCCTAGCACATACGAATTTTTCAAGCTAAACCCTCAGCCATCCAACAAAATAAACGCACCATCAAATTCCCGACTGTTCTCTTGCCTGTACTGCAACCGCAAATTCTGCACTTCTCAAGCTTTGGGTGGCCACCAGAACGCCCACAAGCGCGAGCGAGCGGCCACCCGACGAACCCTAACCACCGCCGACGGCCATTCCTTCGCCGGATCCTTCGAACGCAACGACCAGCCTCCCCCATATGCCGCCTACTGGCTTCAGCCGTCCTCTAATCCTCCTCCAGCTCCTTTGGCAGTTTTCGGTGGAGGACGACGATCGGCTTCTGAGCAGTTTTTCGGAAATGAGTCCGCAGACAACGTTAACCTTGATCTCACGCTTCGATTGTGATGCATGATTTTGTTTAATATAATATAATATATATTCCCACTGCTGATTGATTGATTGATTGATGTATTAGGGGTTTTAATTAACGTAACTGGGTTTTATTTTCTTCTTTCCAGCTTCTGATTGTTTATTTTGGTTGGTTGAGGGGTTGATAATTAGGGTCTTCTAATCTGAAATCTGGAAGTGGATTTTACCAAGAAATATTGATCTGGTTTTTTTCTGATGATTTCATAATTAAGTTTGTCTTATCGAGATCTCAATTACGGAGTAATTAATTAATATAAGTTAATTTAGTTTCCAGTGTTTGCATGGTTCAAGTGTTATTAGACTATTCTGTTTGTGATCAATATACCTTACCTTACCTTCCAATGCCATGTATGAACAGTTCTCACTTAACATTTATTTATCTAAATTATCAATTGCCCACCGAATTACATTTTCTACCATTCTCACTTTTTTCTCAATTTCTTTTTCATTATTTTACAACATACAATTATTCATAATTTTGCTTTATTTTATTTTTTCAACTTAAAGGTCATTTGGCAAACTTCAATTATTATTTTTTTCATTGTTGAGGGAATTTATTAGTAAAAATAGTAGCTTTATAGTTGATGGAACTTTTAAGATGAATTTTACAGTTAATCCTAAAATTAGGGTTGCCAGTTTATAGTTTAGACCGATAAAATTAATTGGGCTGGGCCTGCAATTATGTCAGCCCACATATAGCTGGGAAATGAAATGAAATGAAACGAAATTTATTCATTCACCGGGAAATCTCTTTTTTAGGGAATCAATCAACATAAAGATCAGTTGATATCTATTCTCCAGCCTATATCATCATTGATTTATAACATAGTGTACACATACACATAAAGAATTGTTAAATCTATTTTGGTTTTATAATATTATTTACATCTACAAATGCTTAAATTTGAATTGAATGACTTCCCAGGCAGGCAGGCAGTGTGTTCGAACAGAAATTAGGGAGATTTGGTGAAGTCGAATGTAGGTACCTCAGCATCGAATCCATGGGTTGCTTTGTAAGTTAAACGAGCAAACATATTCCTATAAGGGTCATTCTCTCTTTTCTCCCTTAGATAATCAAGACATTTCTCAACCTCACCTTTCACTTGTCTATACAATTCATCAGCCTTTTCTCTGCTTTTCAGCTCTTCCTTCCTTCCTGGGTAATCACCAAATTCATTTCATTCGTATTTTGAGCATATATATAGCAATATATACGTACTTACGTACCTATTGTTTCAATCGGCTTTCCAAATAAGTAATAAAAACGGCCTGGAACTTTGGGTACAAGGATTGGAAGATGAACATCTTGGTTTGAAACCTCTCCCACAGTGCCGCCTCTGTTACAACATGGTTGAGTGATTTACTACAAACATTTTGAAGGAGCTTAGTTATATATATGTATATATAGAGCATAGAGATATATATACCTCAGCTTCACTGCCTCATCTGTTAGCTCTTCTATGGAGTTCTTGAAATATGGAATGTTCATTAGGTCATTGTAATCAAGGAGTAACTGACAAAAAAGATTGACCACTAGTATGTTAGAGAATCACCTTTAGGTGGTAATTGAAATTATAATAAAAGGAACATTTGATGACATATGTGTGACGAACAGTCTTAAACACACCAAGTCATTCTTAATTTAGAAGCTGTACGTAAGGCTTACCTCGCTAATATCATCTTCTCCAACAGAACCAAATGGTATGATTGTGGCTCCAAATTTAGCTGCCATCCTAACAAACTCTGATTGTTCTGGCCAGAATAATTTGTATTCCTCACCCTGATTTTTTTATAAAAATAAGGGTGGAGCAAAATATATTAAATAACACTAAAAAATTGAATGAAAATGTGAAATGACCTTGCGATGAAGAGCCTCGCGCATTCCTCCAGGATAAAGTAGAACATGGGATTTAGAAGAGAAAAGTCTATAGAAATTAGGTGCTGAAACAGGAACAGCTCCCATGATCCTCATTGAATCAAAACTTGATAAAGGAGGTAATTTGCCTTCCCTCAACTTGGTAAACATCATCGGGTGTGCTATTCCTCGCAAAAGAATATTCCTTTCTTTCCAAAAACGTGTCACGAGAGGGCCTAATTCAAGCCCAAGCATCATATGGTAACCTACATATAGCACCGGTCCTTGTGACGGAATCCCAGCAAGACCTCTCACAATGTTTCCGTTTTCCAGAGTTGATAGCATCACAGGGTCAGTGGCTGCCTCTACCCATCTGATCCAAAAAGTTTATTTATTCCTTTAAATAAGCATTCAAATTCATCATTATCATATAAAAAAGGGTTCGCTCCAATTCACCTTTGTGGTTGATAGACTTTTTGAAATTCAGAAGGGGATGGTGGTAAGTAATCTAAGACATAGTCATGGCGTCTTCCACGTCGGTAAAAACTGGCACCATTCAGGATTGATACCAGACGGACATCTTCGTCCTGCATGCATGCATGCATAACTATTCAAATCACTACTCATTTGTTGCTTGATTAAGAAATGAAAAAATATTGGAATATCAAATCAAGCTACCAAGAAGAGGGCATGACCACTGTCATCGAATACGCGGATCTCACATTTAGGCAACACTTGACGTAATCTTTCTGCTTCCTCCCGACTAGGCAGTAACTGATCCTGTCCGCTGCAAAATGTCAATCAGCCACATGAATAAAACATGGATCAGCAATGTTGAACTATATTAATATGCTATAGAATCCAGAGAGATAGGAGGAATAGATTGACAACCTAGCAAGTATCAGTGTTTGAGCTTTCACAGCATGAAGTCGTGAATTGGCAAATGCAGCAGCTGATTTCAGCATATCCAGCTTCCATCGAAGCGTTTCAGCTGTCAATGCATCAGACAGTACCTGCAAATCTAGTCATCAATTTCACTGAATACCGATTTTTGTGAAAAATTACAATTTAACCAGTAAAACCTAAGGTAAACAAAATTAAATCATCAGGAGAAAAGCAGCAAAAGTTAATATATAATACAACATCAAATTATATAGCAGTTCCTACACGTGATATGCCAAAACATTGAGTGAGAGCCTGAAACTAACGACTAGTATGAAAAACAGTGTATTTGCATATTTGAACAAATTAAGGCGAAGATCATCACAAGTTCTTTGATTAAGTTTGAGACTTACAGAAAGGTACGATGAGACTGCAATAGTATCATGAAATAGCTTCCCAAACAGTTGTTCCAGAGGAAAACGTTTCCCAATGGCTGTTGTCACCATCTTTAAAGGAGAACCTAATATTTTACGAATGATATTACTAATTAAATATTCTGAAATGGAATGTTGTGCAACCAAAATCAAAAGAGATGGGAGTAATTAATACCTGTGAGTAAAGACAGCAAATAAGGTAAGCTGGAGCTGAATTGGTCGGGCATCATTGTTGAAAATGGTAATAGAGTTTCTGGTTGAAGCAGAGATCTGCTGAAAGAAGTAGCTGCCAATAAGAGATTGAGTAACACAGGTTGAAGATTTAGTATCCAAGGTTTTCATGAAAACGATGATTTGTAGTTATGCAAAAGAGAGGATAATTAATGACCTGGATTAGCCAAGATGAGTATAAGATCGATATGTGGGTTGCGAGCAGCAACAGCAAGAGCGAGGCATCCCCCAAAAGATTCAGCAACAAGATATATGGGTCTATTAGGGGTACGTGAATACTCTAACCTAACTGCGCTTTCAACCAGCTTCACCAGGTCTGGGAGGTAACCATAAAATCAGTAAATTTTTCTTTTTAAACAGTTCGAAACATGAAATTTGGATTGAAGAAAAACCTGTAAATGATGTTCTGTCTGAGAGGGGAATGTGGAAGCACCATATGTCAAAAATCCTACATAAGTCGATCGATCAGGCAATAATTAATCAGAGTGACCAATGATCTAAATAATGAAATGTAAAAGTAGTAGAGAATGTAGAGGAGGTCTTACTTGCCAAGTCTTTCATGGTGCAACACAAGTCCAGTTCCAACTCCATCAACCCCTACAAAATTGATGTTTCACAAATTCAGTACACTCAAATTAAAAAAATCATAATGTAAACTGAAGTCAGAAACAGATGAACAAGGACTAACTTATAATTACCAGGTAAATAGAACAATAGAGGAGAGTCTTGTAAGCGGGAACCGCAGTCCAAAGGTGTAAACCACCGCGGCGGTCCGCCGTCCGATCTAGTAATCAACTCAACGCTCTGCTCAAAGTAATCTTTCAAAGTCAGCCGTCCGTCCTTTGCCGACTTCTGTCGATGCTGTTTTTCTGTGGATGCAAAAACAGAGAATCTTCTTCTTAATGGCCTAAGTAGTTGGACGGTTGTAGATGTGTCTCGGTGGCGAAATAAAGGCGAGATACCGGCGGAGGAGAGGAATCCTCCATTTCCGGCGCCGGCCATGGATATTTTATCAAGTAGTACTGCGGTGGTTTGGTCAGGAAAGCATGTGGGGGATTTGATTTGATTTGAATATTCAATATTCATAACTCTCTGCATAATTAATTGGTCAATTACTACAGGACGGACGACAATCATTTTCCCTTTTCTCCTTATTAATACAGAAGAAGAATTAAATGATAATGATTGAATTTCCATTTAATTTTATAATATACTATGTTTTTGGACCCACCCCCTACTCTCATCTCGTGACTCGTCAGAAAAAGAAAAAGAAAAGGGTAAAAGAATTATTTGTTGGGCTAGCACGGCAGTCCAGCTTAGCATAGATATCCAAAAATCAACTGGATCTTCTACTGGCCCAATACACCTGTAATTACTAATTACTAATTAGCCATCCAAATTACAGAGCTTTTGGACATTTGACTATTATTACATATACAAGGTAGAAGAATATACTTAGATAAATTATTTCACACGAATGACGTAACAGGAGGGAATGGGATTATCCTATTCATTATTCATGAAATATAGTTAAATATAATGTGTCTATAAAGAAAAGAAAAAAAAAAATGGGAGGGCGATTTAAAGAGAAATTCCCAAAGTTGAAAAACCACTTTTTAGGTGTTACCCACTGATAAATTAGTAAGATAGTATTCTCATAATAGTCAACTAACATAATTTATTACACATTTATTACCGAAAACTCCAATTTGTTTAGGGTAAATTACACCCACACCAGTTATGATGAAATAACTTTAAGGTCCTTATGGTTTCGGTAATTACACTCACCCCTGAAATATAGTTAGAAACTCTAATGAGATAATGCATTGGATACGTTATTCGAATATGATTGTAACGGACTATTACTTTTAGCTAGTGGTGGAGACAACATAGAGCTAGGGGGGTGACACGGCTCCCCCAACATTTCTTAAATCACCCATAGCCCTTTGTTGTCTCCACAACTTCCTTAAACTAATAGTCCGTTAGAAACCTAGCAGAATAACGTATCTAATGCATTATCCTATTAGAGTTTCTGACTATGTTTCAAGAAGAAGAGTGTAATTACCGATGCCACAAGAACCTTAAAGTTATTTCATCGTACCTAAGGGGTGTAGGTGTAATTTAAAAGATGGACACACTGCTTTTTCAAGGAGAACAAAAAAAGCGAAGGAAAAAGAAAGCAATAAATGGAAAATCGTAGACTAATAATTTAGTTAACCATAATAAAAAAAAAAAAAATTGGTTTACATTTTCCCGTTGAGGTTGCGAAACAGCAATAAATGAAATTGATATCGCCATAAATAAGGATTTTGTGTATAAAAAGCCTGTTGCTGCTGCTCTGTGTTGAATGACCATTCTCCATTGTATTCTATTCTCCCGTCCCGTCTCATTTATTTATTTATTTATATAAATTTCAGTGGTTTCATTCCCATTTGCAAACTACCACTTTCTGATATCCACGCTTTCACATTTCAGATTTTATTTTTTCTCTTTTCTGAAAAATCATCATCAAAAGAATCAAGCAATGGATCCTGAAATGCCAAAGCAGGAAAAAGAATTAAGGAGCCAAAATGCAAAGAGATTGATGTATCAGCTTGTCCAACTCAGCGTTAGAGTAGTGGTAATTGCTTTAACACTAGCAGGTGCAGTTACTATGACAACCAGTGCCCAATCTGTTACCGTTTTTGGGATTGTTATGGATGCCCGTTACACCTTTTCCTCTTCTTTCAGGTTTCTCTCTCTCTCTCTCTCATCACTCTCACATCCACATCCTCTTAACTTTTCCCAATTTCTTACATTTTTCATCAACTTTAACATGCATGCAATCTGCTCCATTTTTCCTTTTTTTTTTTTTTTTTTTGGGCAGGTTCAAATTGGTTGCAGATTCTGTAGTGTGCGGCCTCTCTGTGCTGTCAGTGGTTGTTGTTATTTCACTGAATCGTCCCAAATCAAATTCCAAGAATTACTTTTATTTGCTCTTGCTTGACATGGTAATAACTAACTAATCTATCCTGAATGCCTATTTCATTTCATTTAATTTAATGGCCATTTAGTTTTGTATTTCCTCCATTCAATTCTGTTATTTTTCCATGCTAGTTTTTGCTGAAAGAATCTGTCCAAGCATAATCACAAACCTTTTTTATTCTGCTGATAAAATCTAGTTTTGTTTCTCTTTTTTTCCACAAGCTAAGGTGTTATTTTAATGTTGACCATATGTAATTTTCACTGATATATTTTAATTGTTGCAGGTTAGTGTGCTTCTGTTGGTGTCAGGATGCTCGGCTGCAATGGCTATCGGGTACGTGGGGCGATTCGGACAGGCTCAGACTGGTTGGATTGCTATTTGTGACCGTGTCGAAATATTCTGTTACAAGATTTTGGTCTCAATTGCATCATCTTTCTTGGCTGTCATTTGCCTCGTTCTTCTTACTGTCATGTCTGCCCACAAACTCAAATCTGACTCTTATTTGATGAAGGGGGTTGGAATACAGATCTGATGAACAAATTACTGTCACAGCACCCCCATCTGTTTTTTCTTTTTCTTTTTCCTTTTTTTATTCTGGCTAGTTTTTTCTATGTTCTTAGGAGGGGGAAAAAAAAAGGAAAAACAGCTCTTGCTTTTCTGTGTGCTTATCTGTGATGTTAAATGCTTTGTAATAAAATACATTTATTTCTGTAGTTAAGGCAAGCTGTTTCTGCTTTGTTTTAGAAATTGGTAGTAATTGGAATATTTGGAGTTATGTTAGGGATAAATTTTATACAAAGTCAATGAAGGCACTAGTTTTTCAAATTTGGATAGACCCTGCTTTGTTTTGCAATACAACAAGGATGGGATAAAGGGGACCTTTTTTTTGACCTGCAAAAGTCCCAATACCAATACATTAATTAAAGATCACCACATTAAGTTGCAGATAGAATTCACACTAGAAAGATTATACAAGAAAATGTAATGAAAATGTCCGCATTCCTAGTACGAAAATGTGCTGATCGGTTGTTTGTAATAATAATCTTGTCAACTCTCCGGTGTAAAATTTATCGAATAGATTCATCAGGTTTGCGGTTGATGGTCGGGATCATTGAGGTGCTCCTTTAGAGTTGTTTGTACAGCTGGAACTGGAATTTCCCACTTTCCAGAATCCCATCCAGAATCCACTTCAGGTAATTCATATTCATCTGGTTTTAATGACAACTGAAACTCTGGAAGTTCAGGCAATTTCTTTAGACCTCTGCATATATCACATCATTATCATCATCATCGTCGTCATCAACATATATTTTTAGTACTTATTACACAAAGGAGGATACAGAAACACGTTGGAGTTATAAAATCATTACTTGTCTTGCTCCAAAATGCAGCCATACATCTGAGATTTCTTCATTGCTGTTTCCGGAATTTTCTTGTGTAAATGCTTCATGGCACCCCACGGTGGAGAAGCCCTAACACATACGCATGCAAATTTCATGAGTTAACGAATAAAAGAAGAACTATATATACAGGATACTATTTCTAAAATATTCTGCAAGATTAATTAATGTATTGAACCTGGTAGTTGGTTCTGCAAGGCAAAAAGTTAAGCAGGCTTTCTTGCTCTCAACTAGCAGCTCTTCAGCAGCAAGGAAACAGCACATGGCACTCACATGGGAGGATGGTTCCGTGCACTTATCCAGGATTAGGCCGTGATAGTAGTAAGCTGCCGCCTTTTTTTGTTTTAATTAATTAATTGTTGAATGTGTTAGCTAGGCAACAAACAAGAGAAAACAATTCATTGCTGCAGAAAAAATGACAAGTGGAAATTGTTAGGTGTGGTCACCTTTGCTTCTAGATGCTTCCATTTGATGAACAGCAATTGCTTTTTACTTGCTGCTGCACCATCCTTTGCGTTAACTTCAGATAAGCAGAAATTATAGGCCTGAAAGATCGTTAATCACATAATATCTCATCTGAAACTAGATTTGTAAATAATAGAGTTACTAATTAACAAGCAGATGGAAAATGTAAAATTACCTTGGCAAAAAAATTGAGTTGTTCACATGCTAGTCTCCTCTTCACAGATAAAGTTGCATTCTTGCTTTGGACAGCTAGTCCAAGCTGAACTTCTGTTCCCTGAGATATTCGTCAATCATTTTTTTTTTATCTTCATCTCATCTCATCTTCTAGATTTATTTGTTTATAACAGAAAAAAATAAATATATATATATGTATATATGTACCTGCGCCAGGGCTTGATGAGAAATCGCGTCAAGGAAACTCCCCTGCATAACTGAAGGCAATTTGTTCCTGTTCATACAGATTATATCAATAGTGGTGATAACCATTATGTGCATAAATAAAATCATACTTGTAAGTTGTGATCAAACATAATATGTTACACACTTTATATCAGTTGGTAGCCGAATAAGAACATTGTGTATGCAGAAATTCAAATACCCTGCCGCTTTCAGCAGTAAATCAACAGCATCTCTCATGCAATCTGACAATTAAAAAAAAAAAAGTTTGTGAAAATCAACAGCCGATTCAATCAAGGTATCTAAAAATTTATAGTCGGAGTGTACGCAAAAGATTTAGTTGTTGTAATAGGTAAACAAGGAAGAACCTGGAGAAACAAGCCTCTCAGAGAGGGCACTCTCTTTGGGAATCAACTTCAGATTAGCCTCCATCAAAGTTAACATAGCCATCATATGCAACACAGATAGTAGTTCAAACCAGGAGTTTTGGACACAGCTCACCTGCGATCATAACAACAGTTCGATCAATTAAGAATATGAAAAGTGCAATTGGCATTTCCTCCTGAATCAGTTTCTCACCTGTCTTCCATCTTCCAATTCTTTCCATCTGAACTCCACCAACTCTTGAAGTCCGTGTTCTAATTTATCAAGGTTTTTTTAAATAAAAAAATGACATCAGATTTTGCATATTTCTAAGACTCTCTCTCTATCTGTGAAGAAATGTGTAATAGTTTTCGAACCTTTGCTTGTGAGACCGAGTAGGAGGGATAAGTATTCTTCCAATGATTTTGTTAGTTCAGTGATAGCGGAACCACCTGAATACATTAATATAGAATCATTAATGAAATGTTAGACGAATGAATAAATAATATGCATGGAGACATGAATTGAGGATGGTTAAAGAAGTGGATGAAAAGTGATATATATATATATACCAGTTGAGTGAGAAACTAAAACAATCTGATTTCTGAGAGAAGTAATTCTGTGAGCAAGATCCTTGGGGATTAAGGCTCTCGGAATTTTATGCATATCCGATTGGACAGGAATGCGTAAGCAAGGGATAAACACAGAGACTTCCCTGATAGTCTTCTTCTTCTTTTTACCAATTCCATACATAGAAGAAATGCACCCCATTTTTATCACACATACTACTAGTCTGTCTACACATGCATTCTTCTATAATATATATATAGAGAGAGCGTGGTAAGAGTGAATCATGAAAAAGCTGGTTGATGCTACTACGTATATATGGATGCTAATTAATTAATAAAAAGGTTGAAGAGAAATTAGTCAATGAATGCAATTAGAATATTAATAATAAAAGTAGACATGAATCCATCCATGTGATGTGGTTAATCAATAAAAATAAAGGAAGATAATATTGTGGGAACACAAAGTACTGACACCCCCAGCCCAGCCTCTAAGATAAGTGCATAAAATTATAGTATGAGCCGCCTATAATAATAATCTGTGAGGTGGGAAGCTCAGGGATCAAGAAATCTCTATCACATGGCGATTGCGATTGCGATTGCGATTGCGGAGGAAGAGAGATCTGTTATCTTTTTATTTTTCTATTATATATAAATATTGGAGATCGATCACTGTGGGCAGCATCGGAATTGTTGCAAAAAAGGGACTTGTTTAAGAAAAGAAACGATGATTGAGTTCATTAAACTCGTACGTACGTACCCCTTTTTAGATACTACTATGTATGTGTATCCAATCCGCAATCCCCATTCAGAATTAAAAAAATCAAAATGAAATCCATCCCCCCACCAACTTTTTGATCGTAATCTGACTGACTGACATGTTTTAGCATCAAATCCCAGCAAGGAACGGAATCCATCTGAATCTCATTTGCACTTGTATTTTTGGAAATATATCTCATCTTACCAAATAAATCAACAACCACTACTTTACTTAATTATTATTATTGCCTTCAATCTTTAAATTCTCTTTCAAGGATTTGTTGTCTCAATAATATTTATCACCATCCATTTATGTTTTCTCTGTTATTATTAAACTATCAATCTGTATTAACTTTTTATTATAAAAGTATATAATTAATATAGATGATGGAATCTAAATTTACCAAGCCAAGCCAAGCTGTGATAAGAATTTAGTGAATTAAATTATGTTGAAGCCCAATCAAAATGCCTTGCATAAATTTGTAGTGGATCAGACTATACAACTAAAAAGGCCCATTTCTTTATCCGCATTTTGATCATAATTTAACCAGCTTTTAACGACTAACAACTAACTAAGTGTACAATTAGGCTCTATATCCACCAAACGGCGCCGTAAAGACACACAATTATTAGTTATCTGAAATCAATTCTGTGTTGTATTTTTGCACCTGCCATTTGTCATGAGAAGAAAGTTTTAACGTGACACATTTGACACTGGAAACTAGTCGGAAATTACCATAAACCAACCCTAATTTCACTTCATTCTCTTCTCAACTCTCAATCCCACAATTTCCCTCTAATCTTCAACAACCCCCCACTGCCCACCTTAATTTGCCATCGATTCATTCAGCAATGGCGAATTGGATCCTCGGACCTGTTATCTCTGTTATTGCAGCTGTGTTATTGGTCACATCGACGGTCGCTACCTCCGATGGCCCTTTCATTGTCGCCCATAAGAAGGCTTCCCTCACCAGACTCAAAGCCGGCTCCGAACGTGTTTCCGTCTCCATTGATGTCTATAATCAAGGATCCGCGTATGCTATGCTCCCCTTCTCTTTCCTTATTTATCAGATCTGCTTTTTTTACATTTCATGGATAATGTTTCCTTTTTTAAGATTTCTGCTCATTTTCGGTCAGATTCGTGTCATTACTCACTATAGATCTTTAATAAATGCATCATCCAATGAAATGTTGGGGTTATCTAAAGTAACTGCCCAAACTTAGATCAAGATTTGCGTAATAAGTGATTATGTATTGTCTGCAACATTTATATTACATTTCCAGATAAAATTTTCGTGGTTGACTTTGACCCACAAGTACTTGAGGAAACCGATCCACTAAATTTGTGCTTTCTCCAGATGAAAAACGATATAGATTTGGGTAAAACTGTAATTCGTGCCTTTATTACGTTTTTTGCTGTTCGGATTTTAGGGTTTCATGTCTGGAAAGCAGTCTTGATAAGTATTAACCAAATAGAAAAGAGTATCTGACTACAATTACCAATTCAATTTAGGGTGATCACTAATCATCTTATCGGTAGTTTTCCACCTGTGATTTATACACAATTACACACATATACATGTAGATGTGAGTGGATATGTGTAAAATATATATGCAATACGCGTGTATGGTAGGATATGGCCTGGTGAAGTTCACCGAGTGTAGCATAGAACACGCCGATCACTAATATGCTTTATATTGGACTCCGTTCAGAAATGGTAAATGAACTATCTATTCTAGGCCATGCTTCCTAAACTGAGTAATTGCACCGCTCATAAGAGCAGTTACTACGTACTCTGCATTTGATGGATAATGGGTGAGAATAGGTAGAGGGCCGATGATGTCATGCAGCAAAAATAACACATACAAAAACTCATTCTGATAGAAATGGCAGATGTTAATCTTCCTGATATTATGTGGATTCACATATTTCAGGGTTTCTCTGTTATTACGTAAAGGGATTGACGAACTTTCAAAGCTTGTGGATTCCCAAAAATGCACTAGTTTAGCTTTTATCTTCTAATTTTGTGGCATGTCCTGAGTTGGAATACTTAACCTGTTATCTTAGTTTAGCAATGCAGAGAAATATCAGCATACATTATGATTGTTGTGTGACTTGTTTCATGAGGTTTGAATCTCAAACAAAAAATGAATCCGTATTTCTTATTTGTTCATAATTTGATATAATTATATTGTCCTAGAATGGTGGTCTAACGCAATATATTTCTTGTGATTATTCAGGACTGCGTATGATGTGACACTTACTGATGATAGCTGGTCCCAAGACATATTCAGTGTTGCCTCGGGTAACACTTCAGTTTCATGGGAAAGGCTTGATGCGTAAGTCATTTTTCAAGAATTTTAATTTGTCCCAAGTCATATGTTTGTTTGATTTAGCTGTACCTGCAGTTAGTCTTACCTCAACTAATAGTATTTATCCTGTCAATATGAATGATTTCAGTGGTGCCGTCGTGTCACATTCCTTTGAGTTGGAGGCCAAAACAAAAACTATTTTCTATGGAGCACCAGCAGTTATTACATTCCGCATTCCTACGAAAGCTGCCTTACAGGTAGGTTTGGATTTTCTCCCAAGTTATATTACGAGTATTTAGTTGCTCTTATGCTTTACTTTGATTGGTTAACTTTCAGGCGGCATACTCAACTGCAATCCCACCTCTCGATGTCTTAGGCGATAGGCCTCCTGTGAAGAAGTTTGATTGGGTAAGATTTGATATAAATTTACAAACCCCTTTGCTTGACCTTGAAATTCATCTAATAACACTTTTCGTGTTTTTTTTTTCTTTTTCTTTTTTTGCATGCAATTTTTTTGTGGCGGCACCTGATATTCAACAGGCTAAGGTATGGTCTCTCTTAATTCTTTATCTTTGATTTGAACTGTATTGAATTATTTCATTTATGTACAATTAATTTTACTTATTAGGTAATCATATAAAAATGAAAATAAATGCAATAGTTGCAGTGTTTGAAAAGATGAAAAATATTTCATTACAATTGTTATTTTAGCTTGTTTCTGGGTATAAAAGTGGAAAGGGATTTGAGGGTGAAAGAAATTACGTGCCTCAAGTTAATACGAGCATGGATGAAATTCTCCCCTCTTATTTTATTTTTAATTATTACGTGTGTATCTCTTTGATAGATGGGTAAAATAGTACTGTTATTTAAGGTCATTATTGTAAAATTTTCCATGCGCAGAAACTGTTGGCAAAATACGGATCTCTTGTCTCAGTGACAACTGGTGTGGCTTTGTTTGTGTACCTGGTTGCAACTCCATCGAAATCGGGTGCTGGAAAGGGAAGCAAGAAGAAGCGTTAATTAATGACTGCATTGAATAGAACCCCGTCCGCTTTCTTGTAACCAGTCATACATACCAGGTTATGTTTTGTCAGTGCAGCGTTACACTTGTAGTGAAGAAAGAGCTCATCACTGGACATTAGCCATGACTTAGTAGTCTGTCTGCCCTTCTTTTTTGAAACTAATATCATTTCTGTTTTTTTGCTGCTTATCCATAAAGATTCTTAATCCGGTGGTGATTTATACTTTTGTTGACTGAGCTATGTTACTTAATCAATGGAAACCAGCTTTCTTAAATTAGCCTCCTTTAGTTACAACTTACAATGGCATGCATGTCAAATAAGAAAGATAAATAGACAAGTAAATGATTAACAGGCTATTGCTTGGTGAAAATGATATTGTTTCATTTTTGTGTTAGATGATCATGATACTTAGTCTAATTGTAAGTTCATGATGGTCTACAAGTACATTATCTTGAATACTTTTAATCGTAAATAGAGCTTACTTACATTGATGTTGATACAGTAACATGAGTAAACTTGATGAAAAGTGTGAAATATAATATGATGCCCGAAGGCTGCACCATCCATCAAGCATAAATATCAAAAGACAATAGCTGTGTATTTTATTGCGTGCGAACAATTACAAGATCTCAATCCTAGTTATCAATCATGACAATGAAAGGAAAATCACAAAGTGGAACAAGCAAATAATAGTATACAACAAATGAAAGAAATTTATTAATAAATGAATATGAAGGTCAATGTTGTTGGGGGGAGGATGAATAATCGACATTGTGGGTATGCTGCTGAGGAGGATGAAGTGGTGGTTGTGCCACCACCGGAATTGAAGAAGTTGAAATGGCATCGAACAGATGGTTTGTAGCTTTCTCATAATTGACAAAACCCATGAACCAGAAATCATGGCCGTCTGTAGAGACAACCTGTATATATCTCTCACTTTGGTTGTCTCTCATTATCACCGGGTTTATGCTTCCAATCTTTGCTAGTGGTATCAGAATCTGCATGCATATATCATTTTTAATTCACAACAAAATATTATTATTAATTAATTCTTGATCCATCCATCAAATAGAATATATTATAGTATTATAGATGTACCTTGTAATAGCTCCAGGTCTGTTGGCCGGAAGGTGCAGTGAAGGACAAGGGGCGATCACTGCAGAAGGCGAGGTGGAAATTGGAGAGATAGAGGGTGCCTGCAACTGGACCGGTAGATGTGGACAAATAAGATGCAAATGTTTTCTTGAGAGTTTCGTTATTAATATGAATTGAGGTGGAGAACGTCTGCTTGTAAAGGGCCTCGAATCCACCTCCTGTTATTGTCTTTGCCCTCAGATTCATTTTCCCCCAAGCAGCTCCCGATACGGATGTTCCTGTTTTAACTGCAGTAGGCAGGCATGCAATATTAATTTCATCAAATTATATTATTATTATTTATAGCAAAAAGGAGGTATATATTACGGTTGTGCCAGATGTTGTGGGCAGTGGAGTCGGCCTTGGAGGTCCATGAGTTGAATTTCTGGAGAACGGAGTCAAAGGGACCGCTACTTCTCTCGACAGGGGTGTACTGCATGTATGGCTGATGGTGGTTTGGGTCGGCAACCCCCCAAAAAGCGGCCTTCTGGTTGTTGGGGTGGCTTGTAGGAACTGCCGGTGTCCCCATTACGTTGGTCCCCCATTTCTCAGCCGATGATGATGATGATGATGATGATGAAAGGTCGTCGTTGGGGTACTTGATGGGCTCCGAGCCGTTCATTGTTTTACTTATATTGTTGCTGCTAATGAACGAATGAATGAATGAATGATGATGGAAATAGATGTCAAGATTAACTCTGATTTTATACCAGAGAGGCAGAGGCGTGAATGCCAAAATGCTGACTTTTGAATTTTACACAAAAAGCATGATTGCTTAACCGCGTTATCAACGTCAACAAGACGCCGCCTTCTTTTCTTGATTTTCAAATTTCAACCCTTCTTCTAGATCTACTCCTTATTTATTATTATTATTATTTTTTTTAAAAGTTAATTCTAAAATTAGGTGGCCAGTGTACTGTACACCGAAATAATGAATTGGGCTGGGCCTGTAATAATGTAATCAGCCCATATATGGCTGGGAAATGAAATGAAATGATGACTGGTCATTGGTAAGTCAACCCCCAACAACCAAGCCTATCAAAATCCAAATCTTTCCTCCTCCTCCGTTGTTGATCGATCAAATTCAAATTCAAATCAGCATGAGTTATCAGCATAATCATCCTCCTCCAGGTTAATTCCTCTTTCCGATCAATCTCATTATCTATTTTTATTTTCCAATTCAACTCTTTTTTTTTCTCTAGGTTTGATTCATATCTGCGTTCGGTGCGATCATCTTTGAAATCCTCATCAATTTGTTTTCTTCAATCAGGTTATGGGACGGGATACCCTTCTGCGCCACCACAGCCACCGCACGAGGGCTACCCCTATCCAGGATATCCGCCGCCTCCGTACCCACCACCCCCTGGTGGTGGTTATCAAGGATATTTCAATCATGGATATGCTCCGCCACCGCCTCCACCGCCTCCCACCCAGGTTTACCACTGTGACCATGACCACTACCACGACCACGGTGGCTCTGGTTGTTCCTCCTTTTTCCGAGGCTGGTATGCTATTCTGCTCCTCCCTTTGCTAAATTGTTGCCTGTGCTCTTAATTGTAATTATGCTGTCGGCTGTACCAAGTATTGTCATCAGAACACAAGATTTGCTGCAGATGTAGGATTGGATCAATTGCATTCAAGACATAATTGACACACACTCTTTATTCTTGTAATGTGACACAGCCATCTGATCTGATGTATGCAAAACAGATGAGTATTAAATGGCAGAAAATGTGAAGGAGCTCTTCTGCTTTGGTTGGAAGGCGTAAATGATTTTAGTCATCAAATATTTACGGTTACCTTGTTTGCTTAATGTGCCTTTGAAACTAAGTTCAAACAGCCAAGTTTGTGAGTCTCAAATAGCTTATCAATTATTTGACTCTTGGTAGATCAATAAGCTGAATCTCTATTGACCTTCATAGTTCAATCATGTGTCGAACTATTATGAGTAGCTTCCAACATAGCATACGTGACGAGTCATTATAACTTATGAGTCACGTTTTGGTAAATTAATCTATACTTGAAATGATCAGGCAACTATTCCACCACTATTCGTGTTCTTGTTAAATAATGTGGCCCTTTATTTGTACAAAGGTTTTTAGTTAATCCTCTCTTTCAATGTTTATTCAATTGTGCAAAACACTAAATCCTCTTTACCTGTTAAATTTCTGCATGTAAATGTATTTCATTCTGAGAATGTGTTTGTCATTTGCAGTTTAGCTGCCCTTTGTTGCTGTTGTGTATTGGAGGAATGCTGCTTCTGAATATTCAAGTCTGCATCTCGGGAAGGAATTCGAATTACTGTTTGCCTTGTTTCTTCATGGGAACATGTGCTCGTTATATATATATTTATCAGTGTGAGAACCTACTTGTTCGTTTCATTCTTCTGTTTAATATGTTTCATATGCCGGTAAAAGTGTGATTTAAGCATCCTTATTTATAGTTGTACAATACTCTCTCAAGTATTGTATTTTCTTGAATCTTGTGTACATTTGTTTCTGTTTTTTACACTGAAATTGGTTGTTGAGCTTACTCCACCCATTCAATTACACGTTTCCGTCTATAGTGGTCACATTTTTCCGTGGGGATTGTAATATACCACTTTACACCTGGGTTTTCTAATACTGAATGGCTATGTAATGCATAAACTATGTTGGCAACGTCAATATACTACTGAATGAATGTCTTTGTAAAAACACAATGTCGAAACAATTATGTGGTGAACTGGGCAAACCCATATGTGATCTTGCATTTATAAGACTCTGTTAGGGACTGAAATAATTGGATGCGAGGAAACAGTGATATCAACTTCCAGAATCTCAAAACACTTAAATGTGAAAACAGAACACCTTATCATCCAAATAGACAAGCACGAAATAGATTATGCTTGACAGCACTGGATGTGGTGTAGTAGTCAATATTAACAAAAGCAGCATTACACAGGTTGAAGTTCAATCAAGAGGAGAACCTTAAATATATAACAATAACAATAAGGAAATTAGAAATGCATAAATAGTTGGGGGGTCTAAAAAGTCTACAGATATCTACTACTTAACACAGAAAAACAAGCAGAGGACTGATTTACAATGTCCAAACAAAATCAGGTGCATCTCTGCGAGGGCCAACCAGCGTGCGATACAAGTACATCTTTTCGACTCTGTGTCTAGCATCAGGGCTACTACTAGCCTCAACTTGGTCTTCACCTTCATTAATGATCTCCACATTGAGTGTCGGCATCTTCTCTGCAAGAGTCTTGCATGCTCCGTACGTCACTTCACAGGAAGACATCCAAAGGGATCGCATTGTTTCATACTTCCCCATGTCTGATAGAAGTGCTGCGTTGCCAAAGGGGCTATCTCTTATCTCCAACTTCTTCAGTTTCTTGCACCCATTCAGCACATACAGCATTCCTTTGTCACTATCCCCAGCAAATGCAATTGAAAGCATTTCCAGCTGCTCTGCATACATTCCTATATAAAGGAATACCTGATCTGTCAGACGACCCGATACTGACAACCTCTTCAGACCCTTGCACGACTGGACAATTGCCCCAAAACCTTCATCTAGTGGCAGATTGGTAACTGCATCTGGTATAACTGGATTAAGGGTGCACAAGCGGAACCGAATAAAGTTGGGGCAATTTTTGGCCACGGTGATCAGTGCTGCATTGGTCATCTGCTGACAGAAATATAGCAGTGAATTAAGTTTGGGGCATCCAGCTGATATAGACACTAGCCCTTCCTCTGTTACGGCAGCAGCGTTATCAGCGCCATACAGGTCAGATGGGAACACTCTCAACTCCTGTAGTTCTTTACATGTCGAGGCCACAGCACCTAGCCCTTTATCTCCAATGGTATCTAAAATCTGCACATCCAATTCCGAGCTTCGTTAATTCAGGTAAAACCAGAATAAATAAAAAAAGGTTGGTACGAAGCATAAGCTTATTAAAAATAAAAAGAAAAACAAACCCATAGACGCTCTAATTTCTTGCAGTGACAGATTAGCTTTATAAGCTCGTTACTGTATATTCCTGGTGCATAGCTCAGGTTCAAAGATGTCAAATCCGTGCAAATTGGGTACACAGCAGGCAAACAGTGTGGATTGACATCCAGAAACCCTGATAAGCTTCTAACTGATTTGCAATTCTCGAGAGTATTTTTCATTTTCTTGGAAGTCTCTGAATCTGGATCATGGACAAAAGACCCTGTCCCCAGGTCATTTATCTGTGGGGCTTTCACCAGAATTTTCTGAAGAGCCTCCAATGGCACTGCATGATTCACTCTTAGACTTCGGAGGTTGTGACATCTAGCAACCAATCTCTCGAGAGCTGCTACATTAACTTCTCCTTTGAGGCATGCAAAATTCAAAGAGACCAAGGAGGTGCAGCTGTCAGGGAAACAGCTGAGCCAGTGGCCCTTGCGGTCATCAACTTCATTTTCCTGCAAGTCAAGCTCCCTGAGAAACCTGTTACAAAAAGGTCAACCATCAATAAAGCTGAACAACAACCATGGGAACTAATACCAAAAAGACAAGAAAGAACCACATAATTACATAAGTAACTAAAAATTGCAGAAAACCTTATGATCAAAGGGGGAACTGTAGACCCTCAAGGCACACAGATTACAAGTATAAATATAAAACGGTAAGGAATATTCAATCATATCTAGTTAATTAGAAGGAAGGACATAAATAAAGTTTGATAGAGATGAATTACATGCAGAAATTAAACCAACACTACAATATTTAATACAATCGTGAAAACTGTACGAGCTAATAATGAACACAATTAAAAGTATAAATATAGACCACAAGGAATAAGCATATCTAGTTATTTAGTAACATCAATAAAGTTCGAGGGAGATAAATTACATGCAAAGACAGAAATTAAAACCAAGACTACCAAATATAATTGAGCAAATACAAATGTAATCCAACGAATCCTTTCACACCATTCAAATACATTAAACACTGAGCACAAAAAATAGCAACCTCTACAGATACAACTACAAGTGATTAAAGATAAGCTATCGATTCAGTGTTAACAGTTAAGTCAAGCTCAGCAGCAATTTAAGAATACAAGAGGAATTTCATAAACAAGGAAAGGCAAGATCTGATACCTGCAATTGGACGCAATGGCAGCAAGGCCATCAGTAGTGAAGCCTTCACAGCTGACCAAAACCAAAGACTTGAAATTGGGGAAAGACTTAGCAAGCAGCTCAAGACTCTCATCAGAAACCAACATCCTCTTCAGCCTAAGCTCCTCCAGATTTATCCCATTCTTGGTCATTGCCTCGATCCAAGGGTATACGTCCCCACCCCAATCGTGAGGCACCAAATTGAAATCGGCGAAATGGGGTTTCCCTTTCAGAGTCAAAGACCGAACCCTAGGGAACCTCGCTATCAAACGCTCTGGGTTCACAGCGTAGCAGTTTCCAATGAAAACCTTTTCTCGGCTAAACCTTTCCAGGCTATACCAGGACTTGCATACCAAAGACACAGCATTCCGATCCCTGTGAGATGTCAGGAAATCGAAAACGTGCTCTAATACTTCCTCCGGGAAGTAACTCATCATATCCCGAAATAAACACATCGGATCCAACTCAATCTCAATCGTTTTCCGAAAAAATCCCAACTTTCTTTCGCAAAAGGCTTCTCAGTCAACGAATGTTAGGTTAACCTCGAATTCAAAAAAAAAAAAAAAAAAGCGAAATAACTTGGGGATTTTGAAGTAGGCCGGGAAGATTATATTTTTCCTAAACTGGATCTATAAGATGAAACAGATCTGAAGATTTTCTACTTTGGTGAGAAACAAAGCTGGATACTTGGAGTTACAACAACTTCTCTTCGACTTTCAGAATAGATCTGGAAGGAATGAAGAGAGGAAAAATGAAACCTAGAGGAACAGTACCAAGTATTTCTGGATTTGAAATATTATTGGATAAGGGTAAGAAAGATGATTCATAGCACAGTTATCATCATCGTCATCATCCAAAAATCAAAAGGTGATGATTACTAAGTTGAACAGGTGAAATAAAAAAAAACAAAATCCTAATAATAGACTAAGATCTTTAACAACAGCAGATGAAACGAAATTCACAGATCCGATACAAATCTACACCTCAAGATGAAAGCAAGGTAAAAGAAGGAATATCCAGTTGCAGGAAATGCATATATGATATAACTCATCTCAGATAAAGAGGAGAAAAAATATCTGCTCAATCTCTCTCTCTCTCTCAAATCTATATCTATATCCCATAGGTATGTAATGTAAGTATTCAGTCATGTTAAAGGTAAAAGCTGAAACACACTCATCTCATCATCAGAGAGGCTCTACAGAGAGAGAGAGGCCAGGCCAATGTGCACTAACCAGACGTAGTTGAGATTTGACTGCGGTTAACGAGATCAGACGGTGAGAAATGGCGTGTGTGGAAAGAGAAGAGAGAATCTTGACCGTTGAAATGCGTAGAAGCATGTGTCTTTGTCTCTGGTTTCGATGTGCGATCACCGTAGTTCACTCAATTTACAGAAATACCCCTGTTTCTTGATAAGGTTGTTTGTTTCATGGTCGTGGGCGGTGCACTGCACTCGCGACCTGTAAGAAAGCATACCCAATGGCCAATACCCATACGGGCGGGCCCTCTTCTCTTGTCCACTCAGTTTGGGCGAGTATCATGTCCCTATACTCGCGAGAGTATGAGATAGTAAAACCTTTCATATTTCTTTCTTTGTGCTTTTTCTGATTTCCAAGATAATATAGGGGCAATTTTTTTTTTGGGGTTGTTTTGGGGGGGAGTTTTTAAAATGGGGCTGTTTGGGGGGTAGTAATTAAATTGGGGTTGGACGCCACCGGGAACGGCGGCATTAGCCGGAGACGCCACTGCCAGTGGCGGCACCGGCTGGAGACGCCGCCACCGGTGGCGTCTTCTAATAATTTAATAATTTAATATTTTAATATTTTAATATTTTAATATTTTAATATTTTAATATTTTAATATTTTAATATTTTAATATTTTAATATTTTAATATAATATTTTAATATTTTAATATTTTAATATTTTAATATTTTAATATTTTAATATTTTAATATTTTAATATTTTAATATTTTCTTATTTTTTAATATTTTTATTAATTTTTAATATTTTAATATTTTCTATTTTTTTGATTTTTAATTTTTTTTACAAATAAAACAATTCTAACTACATTCATTAGTTTGATGTTAGTATTAAATTTATTACATTTTATCAATTAGTATTAAATTAATCATTGCATATATATTTATCTAATCAACACAATAAAATAGGGTACAATCTTAAAAACATGTAGACAAAAACAAAAGGAGTTCTAGAAAATAAAAGAGTTATATAAAATAAATAGGTCAAATAAAAGAGTTATACAAAATAAATAGGTCCAAAATGAGAAAAAAGACAAAATGAGTACAAGAAATTAAAATTGGCACTATGAAGTCAGTGCATATGTGAACCAGTGCCACATGCAGGCGCCCGTCTAGTCCTACGCGGCCTACCATCTCGACGAATGTCAGGATCTGCCGGTACATCATCAACTAACTGGGTGTCATCTGGTGGATATGGAACAGGGGAAACATTATACTGTGGTCGCTCTTGGGGACTTGAGTATCCCAAATTGAGCTCCAAATGTGGACCCCATGAAGAGAACCGGGTATCAATAGCAGGAGGATGTGGGGTAGCTAGAGAATCGGACCATGGCATATGTGGAACGTAATCATTCGTAGATGGACCAACTAAATCTGTAAATATGGGTACCTGAGATGTAGACGCACCGAACATATCCATAAATCCCTGTGTAGTAGATAAATCGTCCATACCTCCGTGCACAGGAACATCTGCATAAAAGGGTGTATGGGAAGCAAATGGACCGGCAACATCTCCAGATGGAGGTACCCGAGATGTAGATGCATAATAGTTCCCCTCTCTCGTCTGTCTCACGTCATCCTCCAATTCAGTAGCTCTTTCGGTAGCGCTGGACCTTCTTCTGGTACGTCTATCTCGATGCGGAGAAGGTATAGGAGGTATGGCAGGTATCGGAGGTAAGCTGGACGAAGCACCATCTCTACGTAGAAGTTGAGTCCCAGCTGCATACATCCGTGTAGCGTTGTCCTGAAACAGATCATATATATGATCGTCATCTCGAGAAACTGCCCTAGCAGCAAGACTCATGGATATAAGCTGATTACCCTGAAATAAAAGGCATTACAAGTTTAAGAACTTAAGAAACTGAAAAAACAAATTGAAAAACATCGAAAGTAATGGTTATTTTGAGAAAAATACTAACCACAAGATCCAGTAAAATCGGGTCTCCGACCTGAAAACCAATATCATCAAGATTGTCAATCGGTGATATCAAACGACGTGTGTGCCTCTCATACCACTCGTAGTATCCTGGATCTGTCTGAGGCCCACTAAACTCAATAAATGGGTAGTCAACGGGAGAATCAAGTCGGCCATGCCATCTATCAACATAGATACGGTGAAAACGAGCCCAATCTCTACCTCCTGCGCCTCGACGATCATAAGAATGCAACTTAATCTCAACATCGTGATCAGTAGGATGTGGTGGTATATGCTGTATCCTACCAAACTGACGTAGCACCCTATACGGACGATGCATCTCAACTCTCTCGTAAAATATAAGGGGACAACTCGACAACCAAAGCTGTGGATGCACTATCTCAGGATACTCAAGTAAAGCCCCAAACTCAGGATCTAGTTCACTATAAGGCATCCATGTAAACTAGAAAAAAAAATATTTTTTTAATATATTGTTAGGTAGACCAAAAACATTAACGTAATTGCTGTTAACTTATAAAAAACCTGATCCCAGAGCATCCGATCGAGCGTCGTACGATAAACACGTATATTATTTCGCGAGGATCGAGTGTGACTAGTAGGTCTGATCCAACTGTAATATCATGTGAAAATTTGTTAAGTCAATATATTAACCTTCATACAAATAAATTATTAGTACTAAGATGTTTACCGTGCACCGTAAGGAGGGTGTGGATATGCAAGCCGACGGGGATCATCTTCTACTACTGGTACTATTGCTGGAGCGAGTAAAGGGATCCTCGACCATGCCCAAATCTAATTATTAAACATAAAAAAATATAAAAAATCGCAAGAATAATAAACTATTAATTTAAAGTTTAAAAGTATCAAAAATCCTATTACCTGTAACAGAGTAAGCGCACCACCTAGATTGGTTTTCCTCTTATCCAACTCAACAGTGCCGTCTTGTTCCACAACTTTCCTAAGTAAAGCCCCAGTGCATAGCTCACGATACAAATATCCAAGAACTGCACTACCCCAACTGAAAGTACGCACCGCCTCAAGATCTTCGAAATGACGAAGATACAACAACGAGATTGCACTTGAAGATGTGTCAGGACACATAATCCCCCCAAGTAGCAATAACAGTAAACACCTGACATGCTGCTGAACACGCTGCTCCGTGCTATCATCGGTAATCTTGCAATGTTGTAAATATATGGCCAGATCAGTTGCGTAGAGCCTTCTCCCTTTGAAAGCTCGATCTGAAGGAGTATATCCCAACCACGTCTGACAATAATCCTGCCACTGCTCCTTCGACCATGAAATATCCTGTCCAGTAACAGGTAGTCCATCAACAGGCAAACCCCATAGTAAGGCGACATCCTCAAGTGTCACTGTCGCCTCCCCTGCTCGAAAATGAAACGTGTGTGTCTCCGGACGCCACCTCTCCACTAAAGCTGCAATAAGATGCAAATCGACTACGAGACGACCACATCGATATACTCCATAGAACCTAGTATCAACTAAGTACTGCATCACTCTAGGGTGTGGATCATCATCACCATCATCACCATATAAACCCCAAATCCAACCATCACAGCGTCTCCCGCGCACAATATCATCCACGTTTGCCGATGTAATCGATCTAGATACGTGCTCAAGGGAAGTTTTCGAGTTCCCTTGAGAACACCATTATGAGCCTCTGACATGTTTGTAGTAAGCTGACCACAACGATTGCCCCCATCATGTGCAAATGCCCATTTTTCTTGATCAATATCCTTCAAATAGTTATAAGCTTCAACACTCCGACTTTTGATCACATTAAGAATGTGATTAAACTTCCAAATTTGAGACTCCGCTCCCGCCTTGTAGCATAGATCCTTCAAATCTACACTCTTAAAACGTTTGTTGAAATTGGAGCACACGTGTCTCAAGCAAAACCTGTGAAAAACATTAGGGGGAGCAAATTCGGGCAACTCCGCTAAAGCTCGTAAAATTCCCGGAGCTCGATCTGAAATTACACAAACGCTTTCTCCATCTGGAATTTGAGAAATTAGATGTCTGTGTAGCATTTGAAAAAACCACCTCCAAGCCGCCGTGGTTTCATTGTCAACAAGAGCAAATGCTAGTGGTAGCACTTGGTTATTGGCGTCCAAACAAACTGCAATTAGTAACTTGTGCTTGTACTTAGTGTACAGATGAGTTCCATCCACACTAATAACTTTTCGACAGAACATGAATCCATCCAAGCATGGCTTGAAGGCCCCAAAAGAAGTACTTGATCATCTTCCGTGTTGGAATGTCTGTTGGTTTGAAAACCCACTCAATTGCCGTACCCTGGTTCGTTCTATGAAGTGCCTTCATAAACTTGGGCAGTTTGTTCACTGAGGACTCCCAACTCCCGAACAAGTTATCTCTGCAACGCTTCAAACCATACCAAGCTTGCATCTTTGAAAGTTGAAATCCCAATTGAGACCTCACAATATTCTGTGCTTGTGATATTTTGCAAGCTGGATCATCTCGAACGGACTGAACCAATAAGGCAGCAATGTAGTTCCTGTCCAAATTCTTGTGTTCATTCGACATTTCATCCATTATGCAATTGTGGGGCCCACCATATCTCGTAATAAGGAAGAATCCTTTGCCCGATTTTTCAATTCCCCGTAACGACCATCTACAAGGCCTTTCAGGTGTGCTATGCTTGCACTTGACACTCCATTTATTAGGCTTACTTTCGACAACCGTGAATTCCCGTTTAGCAAATCGAATCGAATGGTCTCTCACCGCGGCGCAAAGGCGTTTTTTGTCCTCAAACACCATCCCAACCTCAAGAATACCCCGATCGCTATCGTAAAACTTATCATATCGGCCCCTTCCAACATCAACTGAATCTGCCGCCACTTCTGGAAACGTCATCGAGAAAAATGGGATTGACTCATACAACGTCGGTTGTTCCTCTGCTTCCGCCTCGTTGTGCTGCAACCACGTCTCCCGAACACCATCTTGTACGTCTTCATCTTCATTGTCGTCGTCTCCGTCATCGGATGGTTCGGAATTCACAGGACTGTTCGGCCCAAAGGAGTCACCTATAGGGTCTTCATCTTCGAAAATGCTCGGTCTCGCGGAACTCGACTCACCAACAAATCCCCCTAAATTACCATAGTTAATTGTATGGGAATCTCTGTGCACCTCTCTCGCTCCACTAGTCTCACAATAATTAGGGATG